GAACCGCGGTCCCTGATGCCTTTGCTAAGCTTGTTCCAAGTAGGTGCTTTAGACCACTGAGCCATCTCTCCAGCCCCTAAACTCAGTATTTTAATAAGTTAAACATAAAAGATGATTCAAGCTGAAGCTGTGTCTCTGGCCCTCTGTCTTGTTTGCTATTTTGACACCCCAGTGTTTGACATAAGTTGCTCAATAACTATTTGTTGAATGGATGCTGGATATAAAACAGACCCGAGTGTTAGGCATTACCAAGTACCTTAAAGACATTTGATAATTGTTTTGTCATCATTGTGCCAAGAGACTACGCATCTTCTCACTTTTGATTCTAGGCTTGGACATTATCAGTCTGGGATATGAAGGAGAAAGATGCTCTGGTTTCTTTAAGAAGAAAGAAATGATAACTGGAAGAGTATAACTTAGCAGTATTCCAAAAGGAATATCTTTATAGTCTTGAGGAATCAACCTATCCTCTGGGAGAGGTGTTTTGTTTTTTGTTTTGTTTTTTTAATCATAGAATCCTGCAGTAGTGACAACAAATACAAATTATAGAGGTGAGCTTGGAAGTTCTATGAGTTGAATGTGGAAGTAGAAAACGCTGTCAGAGTCCTTTCTCACTCCCAGATAATAAACTGCCTTTGGGGACTGGGGAGATAGCTCAGTGGTATAAGCACCTGCCTGGCAAATGCAAGGTCCTGGGTTTGATCCCTGTTAAAGAAAAAAACAACAACACAAGATAGAAACCTGAATTGGAAGACACTGCAGGGAAATAGCCTGATTGTCCTACAAATTAAAAATCTTGCCACCTCTTCTGCAAGCATGTCCTAGGTTTCTGCTGGGTCAGTGGAAGGTTCCCACTTTACCATAATGAGGGCAACCTCACTCCTACATGTCAGTTCAGGAACTGCACCTATTCTGCCTTTCCTAGGATCCAGTGATGTGAGGAATGTGACCCAGTTCTCGACCCAGAGAGGGCTTAGTTACTTTTCTCATTGCTGAGACAAAATACCCGACACACAAAGTTAAAGAAGGCAAGATCTATTTAGCTCACAGTTTGTAGAAGCTTCAGTCCATAATCCACTGGCTCCAAAGCAGGGTGGCACGTGGCAGAGGGGTGATTATTCATAGTGGTGTAAGACAGCAAAAACCAACAAGGGAGAGTGACACAAGCCTCTTTCTGTCCCTTATATTGTACCTAGTCTGCTGGGACTAGGGCAGTGCCAATCCAAACGATGCACTGATCCAGCAATCACCCACCCCTAGTCCCAGCATTACACTATGAATCAATCACACACTCTAGATTTAGCCATCTCCAAAGAAACCCTATGATTGCTTGAAGCTTTGGGGAGACATCTAGATACAAACCATAGAAGGAGGTATTTGAGGACTCATGGAGAATCCCAGGTGGAGCCAGAAGAGGCTAAGTACAGGGAGCTGTATGAAGAGTGTCCCAAGGGATTTAACAGGCCTCACCTCAGAAGAAAGGAGCCCATCTTGGATTGGTCAGCCTTGGCAGGGAGCAGCAGCCCCACTCATTACCCCTGGAATTTGCCTTGCCTTCATATACCTTTCATAGTTCCTTCTCTGGACATAATACTTGTCAGGAATCTGTCTCAGTGAGAAGAGACAGAAGATTTTGAAAAGTTGAAGACTCATCCTCCATCTCCCCCAAGAAAAGAAAGTTTAGATCCTTTCTGAGAGTTAACATGTATAACTCACTCACAAAAACAAATGTTAACTGTTCCAGAGATGTGAACACAGCTGTGATGGAGCTCCTGATCATGGCTTATGCACTGAAGACTTCCTGTGCCCGGAACATCATCGGGGTCATCCCCTACTTCCCCTACAGCAAGCAGAGCAAGATGAGGAAGAGGGGCTCCATCGTGTGCAAGCTCCTGGCGTCCATGCTGGCCAGAGCGGGTGCGTGAGTGGGGAGCGTGGCCTTCCTGTCTGAGATTAGTTCCTAACCTCAAGTATCTAGTTAGGGACCTTTTTCTTTTCTGTTTATTGCTTGCTTTTCTTATGTTTTCTTTTGCATAGTTTGGTTAAGAAATATGTGAACTTACAATTTTTAGTTTTATTCTTTTTAGAATAATACTTCATTGTTTTCTCTAAATTAGACTTTTTCATTCTATCACTTTTATTTCATGTAGTTGACACATTTTAACTGTCAGGCTTGGCAGTCCTGTGACCTTTCACATGTGTTTGCCTGTGTTAGCTACATTCTTTTTATGTTCATAGCATTAAAACTTTATTTTTCTTTTACTATTTCTTTAGTTTATGTACTCTGCCCCTCCCTCTAGCCCCTTCCTCCATACCTTTGGCCTTTTTATAGGCAGATCATTTTCATTGTTTTTATTATATTTATGTAGCATTGGCATAATTCCTGGCCTATAAATACAACATAATAATATCTTAGAATTATTGATTTTTTTTTTTTTGGATATTCATTAAAAATACTAGCTTTTTGCTCCAGAAGTTTTGCAGTGACTTTTGACTGTTTGCAAGGTATTTGTACTTGCACTGTTTCTATTCAGTACTATTGATTGTAAGAGTATGATTTCTTTGTCTTTCCTGTAAGAATACTTCTTAAATCATCTTTTCTCACATAAAGGAATTATTCTAAGCTTCAGCATCTTATAGTTGTCCTGTATGAGTTTCTTTTCTTCCAATACACATATTACTTTGCTTTTGATTTCTTGTTCCTTTCTGCCATAGCCACAGTCCATCAATATTTCTCCTTACATGTTTAATAAAGGCCTTTTTATTGACACCTATTATTGTTTTGGTATTTATTAACTCCATAGTCATATTTTCACATCTGTCTCATTTTTCTTTTCTCACTTTCCAGGATCAAGCTAATAATAGTAGAGGACAGTGCTTTGCTCTCATCTTGACTTCTTTGTCCCATGCAAAGTTGTGGGCTCCTTGGCATTAGGCTCAGCACATTGTGTACTACCTCAGGTTTACTGCGCTTTATAATAAAAGTCTCTTACTATGGTGCTGGTTCTATCGCTGCCTTCAGTCTTCCAGTAGGAAGCAGAAGTTGAACACCTAGTTTGTATCCACTGTAGCCATTAACTTGTAGGGGAGAACTTTGTAATTTTTTGTTTTAAAATTTCAGGTTTAACTCACATTATCACTATGGATCTTCACCAAAAGGAAATACAAGGCTTTTTCAGCTTCCCCGTGGACAACCTTAGAGCCTCACCTTTCCTGCTTCAGTACATCCAGGAAGAAGTGAGGAGCTACCAGCTCACATCTCATTGCCCTCAGATCCTATTTAGTTTTTTCTGGTATCAGATTTTAGCATTGAAAGGCACATCAGATGATTGTTTCCCTTCAGCCTTAATGCCTGCGGCAGCCAGATAAACTCAGCAATTAGTCATGGAGAATCATATTTTTAAAAGACATTAAAAACAGATTTCCTTAGCAGTTTGCTTATTTGAAGATTGATTGATTGATTGACTGATGGTACAAGAGACTGAACTTAGGGTCTTTGCTTTGAGCTACATGTCCAGCCTTTTTTTTAAGACAGGATCTCACCGAGTTGTCCAGGCTGGGCTCCAACTTGCTATCCTCTTGCCTCAGGCCTCCCAGAGTGCTGGGATGTAGGCATGTACTACCATGCCTAGCCCCTTTACTTAAGAGAAAATCTGACTCTGAATGTTTTGTTTTATTTGTTTAGCCCACCGAGTGTTGGAATAATAGACATGTGTCACCATGCCTGGCTGAATTCTTTTTTTAATTTTTATGATGTATTACTTTTGCAGAGATGCTAATTCATAAATGGTAAAAAAAATATAAATGTGTGACTAGAGCTTTAACATATTTGATTGCTAGTTTGAATCATTGTTGTAAGAGGAAAAACATATAAATCAGCATCCAATTTTTTTGAGGGGGGTTTGAGGGGATGAGACAGGGTCTTACCATGTAGTTCAGGCTGGCCTTGGACTCGCTGTATAGCCCAGGTTGGCCTCAAACTCGTGGCAGTCTTCCTGCCTCAGCCTCCGGAGTGCTGGGATTATAGACGAGCACCTCCACACTCGGCTTGGTTTTTTTTTTTTTTTTAATAACCTTTTGGTATTTTCTGTTTTTCTTCCAAATATAGATTCCAAATTACAGAAATGCAGTCATTGTAGCTAAATCTCCTGATGCTGCAAAAAGGTAACTAAACTAGACATTTATTAAAATGTATTTTGGGTAAATCTGAAGTAGGAATTAGCTCTTTTGGAATCCAAGGCTGTCATAACGGCCAGTAAACTCTCAAGCTTTCTCCCATGTCATTGTCATGTCCACGCTACAGGTTTCTATCCAGCCTGCGAGAAGCCCAAGGCAGCTCTGCGTTAGCTCCGTTTGCCTCTGGAAGGAAATGAAGTTCTTCCTTCCAGGTCTCAGCAAAAGGAAATCAGTGGGGCTGTGAGCATTTTTCAGGGAGTAGTCTTTAGGGCACCATTTTAAACAAAATTTTTCTAAAATTGTCAGCTAGAATGCTGCAGGAAGGGGTGGTTATCAAGAAAAAAAAAATATTTGACAAAGCTAGAAGCAAATTATCTACAATCAGATACTAACCCAGCACTCTGCTCATATGCCCTTGAGGCATTTACATTCTGGTCTGATTTATATAAATAAGTTATTTGTGTAGTCCTAAATGATTGAATTTTGTTGTTTGTTTTGGTTTTGCTTTTTTTCCATTTTATGTATTTAGTACAGGATCTCACTACACAGCTCAGACTTGAATGATCTACCTATTTTCAGCCTCGCCAGCACTGGAATTATAGGCATGCACCACCATGTCTGGACTTGGGGTGAGGGGGCTGGCTCGGCATGCTAGACCGAGGATCGAACCTTGATCCCCGTGCTAGTCAAAGCAGGCGCTTAGTCCGCTGAGCTATCTCACCGGCCCTGGCTTTGTTTTTTGAGATGAGGTCTTGCCATACAGTTCAGGCTGGTCTTGAGCTCACTTTGTATCCCAGGCTGGCCTTGAGTTTGCAATGATCCTCCTGCCTCAGCCTCCTGAGTGCTGGAATTATAGGCATGGTGAGTTCCAGGCCAGTCTGAGCTACATAGCCAGCATGCCTGGCTGAGTGGTGTTTTTATCTTGTGATTATCAGTGAAACCATGTAGGGTTGCTTGGGTTTTCTTCCCAACAGTGCCATCATTCTCTTTGTTTTCTTCTTAGAGCTCAGTCGTACGCGGAGAGGCTGCGTCTGGGGTTGGCTGTGATCCATGGGGAAGCTCAGTGCACCGAGCTGGACATGGATGATGGTCGTCATTCTCCCCCAATGGTCAAAAACGCTACTGTGCACCCGGGCCTGGAGTTGCCATGTAAGATTAGCTCAACTTTTATTTGTAAAGTGAAAAAAGTTTTAAATGGTGTGGCTATGAGTTAACACATGAGTATTTTAAATTATTGAATGGGATTGCCCTGGTTTTCCCTTTTAGATTACGTACATTACACACATTTGCAGGCTGCAAGGATAGTTGGACTAATCTAGGTTGCACTTAAGCCTTCATCTACAGCTATGTGTATGGTGGTGTGAAATCAGAAGAGTGTGTGCCTGGTGAGATGGATGGTAGCAGCCACTGATCACCTACCAGCCTGTGGCTACCAGTCGGTACAGTCTCATGATAGTCCATAATATGGGTCTACCATAATTTATTGTAATGAGCCACCTATTGATGGGAGCACAGGGATTTTGGTTGGGTTTTTTTTTCAGTCTTTGGTTTTGGGAAACAGTGCTCCAATAATAGTATCTGTTAGACCCATATCACACGCCACGGGGTATTCTAAATACATCAGTGGGTCCCACAGCCCTCAGTGTAAGGGCTTTTATTATCCCTTATTCTGGAGACCAGGCAGCCTTACACAGCCAGCAGCTGGTAGAGCATGGGTTTAGAGTGAGACTCCAGGGGTGCCCATGCTCTCTCTGTCTCTTTCTTTCTCTCCCTCCCTCTTCCTCCCTTCCTGGAGGGAATTGAACCCAGGACCTCACACTGAGCTACATCACCAGGCCTTTTTTTTTTTTTTTTTTTTTTTTTTTCTGTTTTTGGACAATGGCTCACTAAATTACCCAGACTGGGCTAAAACTTGTCATCTTCTTGCCTCAGCCTCTAAGAATACAGGCAGGTGCCACTGGTCCTAGCTCAAGTATGTTGTTTTTTAGCTTTTTATTTTGAGCTAACTTCATACTTGGAGAAAAGATGAAGAAGAAATACTGCTATGTACTATACATTTCACTATACAGTACCCCACTTAACACTTACTGTATGGACATGCTAATCTTTTTGCATCATTTGAAAGTTGCAGATTTAATCCCCCTTTGTTTCTAAATACAATACTTCAGTGTATATTTCTTAAATACAAAGGACTCTTTGATAACCACTGTATAATTCTCAGATTCAGGAAACTAACATTGTTACAATAGTATCTAAATCCACTGGCCTTTCTCAGGTTTCACCAATGTCATTTAGAACAAAAGGAAAGAAAAACTCTTTTTTTCTTTGGGCCAGGCCCTAATCCAGAGTTGCACATTCCATTCAGCTGTCATTTCTCTTTAGTCTCACTTAATCTGGAATGGCTCCTCTGTTCTTTTTCTCTGATGTCCTTGATGCTTTTGGACAGTAAGGCCCAGTTGTTCTGTAGACTCTCCCGTAATTGGGACGTGTTTGTGCTGTCCTGCTTAGATTCAGATTATGCATTTCTGGCAGGAATGTTACAGGAGACGTGTGATGGTGATGTCATTGCCGGTGATGTCGGTCTTGATCACTTGGTTAAGGCAGAGTCTGTCAGGGTTTTTTTTGTTTTGTTTTGTTTTTTTTAATTTGATACAGGGTCTCGCTACACAGTTCAGACTCATAGTGATCCTCTTGTCTTGGCCTCCCCAGTGCTGGGATTACAGGTGTGTGCCACACGCCCAGTTTCAGGGCCCACGTGGAGTGCCCAGGATTTCAGGAGTGGCATAGCGTGCAGTATCAGGTATCGAATCTGGGTCCTTGCACTTGCCAGGCAGGCACTTAGACTGCCAAGCTAGCTCCCCAACCCTCTGTCAAGTTTTCTTTCTTTTTAAAAAAAGTTTTTGGGACAGAGTCTCACTGCACAGCTCAGACTCATAGTGATCCTCCTGTTTTCTGCCTCCCCAGTGCCGGGGTTACAGGTGTGCGCCACTGGTGCTGGGGATTGAACCTCGGTTCCTGTGCTTTCCCAGGCAGGCCCTTAGTCTGCTGAGCTATCTGGCCGTTCCCTCTGTCAAGGTTTCTATCAGAAAGTCTCCCCGCATTTCCTGTGATTAGTAGTGTCATTTGTTAAGACTCTGAATGTCCTGACTCACTGAATTCAGCATTTGCTGATAATTTTTACCTGATGAGTCAGTTATTACTGATTACTGAAAATTATATCTTCCTTTAACTGTGTCTCACTGTTGCCAAAGTTGGTTTGGAATGGGGACTTAAACAATTCTCCTGTCTCAGCCTCCTGAGAAGCTGGGACCACAGGTGTTACCACTGCACCCAGCTTCATATTGTCATTTTCTAATTCTATCATTCCTGCTGTATTTATTTATTTTTTTATTTTTATTTTTTGGTGGAACCGGGGATTGAACTCAGGCCCTTGCGCTTGCCAGGGAAGCGCTTATTCCACTGAGCCATCCCCTGGCCCCCCTACTGTATTTATTGGTTGACATTCTAGTGTGAAAAATCTTTCCGTTCTTCTTCATTCATTAATATGGATCTATATGGATCCACAGAATTGTGTTTTATTTGGTGGGTTATGATTTTTTACTGTTACTTTTTTTTTTTTTTTCTAATTTTTTTTTTTAATTTTTGGCAGAACCGGGGATTCAACTCAGGCCCTTGCACTTGCCAGACAAGCGCTTATTCTACTGAGCCATCTCCTCAGCCCCAGTGTTACTTATTTTAATGCCCAGAAAAGTTGACCAAACAGAGCCTTGTCAAGCTACTGTCTCTGACCTTTTGATATGTCTAGTTCTGGTGGGGTACTTCCCTATTTTCTGGGGTAACTGGACACACTGTGTTGTAGGTTTTTTTTAGCACTGGAATCAACCACTTCTCTAGGGAATTCTGACTCCATTGGTGGAAAGTGGCATTTAGAAGCCAGATTTGGGCTGTGGTGTGCATATGCTCAGTTACCGCCCAATACAGTATGTAACTTACGTGGATTTAGCCCTTTCACATGCGCCTGAGTCTAGTTCACAGTAGACACAAATAGGATGCCCGAGTCAGAGGTTATTTTGGTAGATACTGCTGTGTTGTCACAGAGTCTTATGTAGTGGTACTGTATTCTGAGAATGTTGCTTTCATAGGTAAGCTGGGGACAGGCATTCTCCTCCTGGTCATCCTGTGTCCCTAGAGACTTAGTATAAGAGTGTCTTCCTTCAGGGACACTCTGCTGTGCTTTGACAGCTGCCACGGGGCCATTCACTGTGGTTCCCAGCTCATGGACTTAACCAGGAAATTTCTACTTCTCGTCTGTGTAATTGTACCTTCTAAATTCACTATGGTTTATGTACTAATTATACACTGTTAATCCAGTATATTCTAAGTACATTCCAGTGGCTCACTTATTCAGATGTTAGACTGTTACGATAAGGCCAAAGAAAAGCAAATACCTTTAGAGTCTGTGTTTTAAAGAACATAATGTTCTGACACCTTCCTCAAACTCATTCTTTAGACCAGTACCTTTCAACCAGCAAAGATTGGCTTTTTGAGACAGGGTTTTGCTGTGTAGTTCAGGCTGTCCTTGAACTCACTGTGTAGTGCAGGCTGGCCTCAAACTCGCAGCAGTCTTTCTGCCTCAGCTTTCTGAGTTCTGGGACTATAATTATGTGCCACCATGCTAGTCCCAAGAGTGCTTTTTGTCCCCAAACAATATTTGGCCATGTCTGGTGCCATTTGTTTTTAGGCTGTTACAACTAGGAAGATGTGAGTCATACTTGCATCTTGTGGTTCTAGACCAGGAGGACTGCTCATGTCCAGCCGTGGGACAGTTTTCCAGCCCAAAGCACCAGCTGTGCCAAGGTTGAGAACCCTACTTTAAAGTAATTTGTTAAAAGTGAATTTGTACAAGTAAAGGAAAGAAAGTTTTTCT